TTGTTTTCTCTAATGTCTTGATACAGTTTTCAACTATTAAGGTCAATAATTAATTACTCTTTTCTAAAGCTCTATGAGCTAGATCTGGACACCTTGATATAAATTTTAAATATAGAAAGTCTTTAAAACTGTCTCATGGTACAGACAAAGGCAGAAATTACAAAAGAGAATGAAAAACTATAGTCAGAATAAGACTGTATCATAAAACTCTGTCCCTTTAATTTTTCCTTGGTCGTAAGAAGGATGATGATATTGTTAGAATTATACAGCCAATAGACAGTAAGACAGAACTGACAGAGTCTGAGCCAAGAAACCTTTTTGTCCACCCAGTGTGTAACTTTGGCAACTTCACCAAGACAAGTTTTTACTCAAAACTATACAAATGGACTTTTAAAATACCTCTTTAATTATGGGATTAATTTTAATTAAGTGGTAAATTTGCTCTCGACCAGCTCTTGGTTGGATGAGGAAAAGTCTGTGTTATTGCCAAGACTATGCACTGTTTCTGGGTTTCTCCTCTGGAGAATTAAGACCCAGTTACAAAAAACAAGGGAGAGGCTGACTTACCATAGCAAGTCCCACCAACTCCTCTGTGGTCATCTGACTTGTTTAGTTGGTAACCTTTAAACTTATATTTGTATAATATGATGCTTAACAATGTTCTCCTATACTCATAGATCTGTGCCTTGCTCAGCCATTATAAGAGAAGCCTCCTCCTGCAGTAGTTGGGAACAAACACAGAGACCCATAGACAAACAATGTGAAGAGAGGAGAGACCTTGGAACACTGTGCTCTAAAAGGGTCGGCTCCATAAAATTCCTCCCCTCAGGGATCAGGAAACTATGTGGAAGAAGAGGTAAAAAAGTGTAAGAGCCAGAGAGGATGGAGAACACCAAGGAACCGAGGCCTTCTAAACATAACAAGGCTGGCACACGTGTGAACTCAGAGACTGTGCCAGCATGCACAGGGCCTGTATGGGTCTGCTCCAGATAAATGGAGTCCTAGAGCTAAAAGGACAGGTGGACACATGCCCCCATCTCTAGCCCAAAAGAGAAGCTATCTCCAATTGATGGTCACTTGCAAATGAAAACTTAGTTTTAGTTTTCTCCAAGAAAGTCTCACTGGGGGAACAAACCATTCTTAAGGGTAGGCCCCATGCCCAGCAGTAGATGACCAACAGAAAATAAACTCAACAGCATCTCCGGAGGTTCTTTGTTTCATAATGTTAAGTCAGGATATTTTTTTAAATCTTACAGGTCCTTGGCATATATTATGACTTCCAGTTTTGTGTTTTTATGGGATCCCTGTGTGTACAAATGTATGTGTTTCTGCATCTATATGCATTTCTTGTGCTTTTTTTCCTCTTTGGCTCTTTTTCTTGTTTGATTATTTTGTCCTATCCCTATTTGTTTTATCTTATTATATTTTATTTCATTAAAAAATGCCAGGTGGTGGTGGTGCATGCCTTTAATCCCAGTACTTAGGAGGCAGAGGTAGTTTGAGGCCAGCCTAGTCTGCAGAGTGAGTTCCAGGATAGCCAAGGCTACACAGAGAAACCCTATCTTGACAAACCATAAATAAATAAATAATAAATAAATAAATAAATAAAATAGATAAACCTTTCTCCATAAAATAACATGAAAACTGAGATTATTGTATTATTGTTAACAATACTTTGTATTGCTACTTTTAAAATTGTACTTTCTATTTGTCATGTGTGGATAGAAGTTCATATCCTAACAAAATGACAGTTGTCCCAGTGCCTTGAGATGATAGCCAATACCTGATGAGAAGGAGCTTGGTGACAAAATGCAGGGAACCAGTCCTGAGAACTTTACCTTCTGGCTTCCTGCTAGCCAAATATGACTGAAAGAGTCTTGACAATTCATTTAAGACACACTAACAGAATACCTGTCCATCATGGGTACCTCTACCAGTGAGCTGCTGCCAACTCTTGCCTCTGATCCCTATCCCTATGACCAATGAACTTTGTATGGAGCAGCTTCTGATTTTTCTTTATTCTGTCTTTGAAATCTACCCCCTAGTGTGCCGGGACATATGGATTCCCATTGCAATGATTTGCTATTGTCAAATAAATATAATTATTCTTTGGTGAATCTCTGTCCACTTGTATTTTGGATTGACATCATGTGTGCCGTCCTGGCCTTCTTCCTGCTAACAGACGTTTCCAGAAGACAGTTAGGCGGGGCAGCTGATCATGCTGTTTTGTTGGATTCTGACATGTTAAGGGGAAGACAGAGAACCCATCCTCTACCTTCTGGGTTTTATGAACTCTTGGGTGTGTGGTTTTGGAGTATGTTCTAAATTGTTACCAGAAAGTTCTAAATTGGTTACCAGAAAGACTGTAATGAACCTGAGACCTAGCAGAATGTCTGTCATTCAGGTTTTTAGCCTGGGGGCAGCTGTTACACTCAGATGCAGTTATAGGGTCTGGGGGCAGATAGAGTCCCAGGCCATGGATTCAGGTTCTTCACTCAGAGGTAGATTCCCCTCAGGATAGATATGTGACCAGAGCCTTAAGCAGACTTTTTTCTCCACAGAGCCACATCCTAGGATGTGCTTCTAGTTAGAAGCAGGCAGGAAGACGAGGCTTCAGAAATAAACATCACATCAGAACCATTAGCAGTCCAATACCCTCAATGCCAAGAACATGGACACTCATGGCTCAGAGAGCCAGTTTCCCATACTTGCTAACTCTTGCTGTAGGCAGTTTACCTGTGCTCTGTTTTATGATCTTGTTCTACCTGTGCTTGTGGTCTGCCTGTGCTCATGGTATAGCTGCACCAATGAAGTAGTCATATTTACAGTTCACCTGTGCTCGTGGTCTGCCTGTGCTCATGGCCTTCTTGTACTGGTGATTTATGTTGCTCACGATCCTTAGGTGCTCAAGATCTTCCTTACTCATGGTATACCTGTACTCAGATTCCAGCTGTGCTCATGGTTTAGATGTGTTCAGTATCTACCTATACTCAGGGTCTATTTATGCTTAGTAGCAGTCTGGTTTAACCATTTCAACCACATGGTGAAGTAGACGTTTCGCCAGTAAAAATTGGAGACAAGTGTGTCCAGGTGTAGTGAGTACCTACGTGCAACTAAAATTTTGCATCAGTCCTGTGTTGTTCTGTGTTCCATACTATAGAACAACACTACCAACCACAAAGGTCCACCATGTCTTTCACCATTTTCAAGGAGGGCACCAAATGTGTTAGGGAGATCCTGTGCTCTCTGTCTCAGTGATTTTGCTGAAAACTAGTATGTGAACCCAGAATCCCATCCTTAGCAATGAAGAGTGTCCTGATGCAGCTAATGGAAATTTGGATTTTGCTAAATTTGACAATTGTTCCTTTTCCTCCAGTCCGGGATCAATACAAACCAGCACAACCTGCAGTTTACAGAATCATCATACAAGAAGGCATGGTGTCCCTGCCACCAAGGGTGTATCTTTAGGCCACAAAAGTGACTAGAAACACTGGAGAGGAGCTTTAGGACATGGGTAGGCATAGGTATAGGATTTAGGACAGCCCTGCAACTTGAACTGACCCTCAAAGCAACACCATTACTCTGGTGTGGATGGGGGCAGTCGGAAGTCCAGTCCCAGAGTCAGGGATATGCGGAGGCAATGATTTGAGGGTTGTCTGAAGGTGGGTGGGATGGAGGAAGGAGGGGGAAGAATGGGAATGAATGAATGAATGAATGAAGGAGGAAAGGAGGCAAGAGGGAGGGGAAGATGAGAAAATGAGGAAGGATGGGTAGATCATGAGCACTAGAATATTAATGTCCTTTCCTAGTCTCCCATATACACCAAATTTCTTGCTTTCTTGGTAATTTCTGCTCCATTTGGCTCATGGATGACCCATTTCTTAAAAAGGAAGCAAAGTGAAGGCCAAGATAATCCTGCAGATTCAGGTCGCTGGGTGGCTGCCTGTTTATAACAGATGAGGATAAGAGGATTGCAACACCCTCCTGCCCAGCCTTCTTACTTGGCCAGGAGCAAGGGTAGTGACTGCCCTGGGGGATCTGTCTAGGAGGGGACCTTCTCCTGCTCTGGGATTCCAAACTAGATGTGGCTGACATATGCAGCAGGTGCGGAGGTGTCCTTGGTCCCTTGAGGAAGGAAGAAGGAGGGGACTAGGGAGGAGACTGTTCCCCAACCCTCCTGTGGAGCTCCCTAATCCCTGGAACTCACTTTTTGACCCTTCTCTGACCCCTCCCTAGCTGCTGTCAAGTCGGTATCATGAGTACCTCACTCAGCATATCCAGACACACAGTGCTTCCCACCTGTGGGAGCTCTGTCATGGTTACACCTGCCACAGACCAGCAGCTTCCATGGAGTCTGTTAATAAGTCCATTTCCATTCCAGCCCCTGACTCTCTTGTCACTCCATCCCCACCCTTTCCTGAATCCCAGATTCTCTGCCTCCAGGACCAGTGTGTTCCCGCCCTTTGTGGGTAAAGCTGCCTCTGCCATGATTGGTGTTTGGGGCTGCTAGTTTCTGTACCAGCCCTAGCCTGACCCCTTCAGACAACTATAGTCACTCAGGGAAGACTCTTCACTGAATCACTGAAATTACCCTAGGTCCTCACCGTGCTTACCATGTATAAAGAAGACCTGACCTTGGACCCCAGATACAGAACCCTTGGCAAGGCCAGAGGCTGAGTCTGAAAATCTTCCACGAGAATGTCTCTTAAATAGTATTTCTGTGACAATTATGCAGCTGTGTGAATGGTCCACATAGGGAAAAAGAGGGACCCTTTAAAGCTCCCTTTGAGCTCCCCCCCCCCCCCCGCCTCCCCCCTTTCTTTTTACTGGAAATGTGAAAGACTAGGTCCTGCAAGGGAAAGACAGGAGGCTAGGCACTGTGACCAGATTGGGTAGGGAAGGGTGAGCTGCAAGAACCTTGCCCTGGACCTGAGGTCCTTGTGAAATCTCTGGATGCCAAGGCAGAGCATACCTCTGCACCCTGGCTGGAGGACACCCACCTCTGACACATCCGGCACGTTCACCATCTTCTTGGTCTGAGCCACATGGCCCACAATCCCAATGTCCAGTGGGAATACGATCTCAGAGTCAGGGGGCACCAGGCAGTCCTCCAGGAGGCTATCTGGCTGCACACTGAAGAGCCGTGTGGCCAGTTCGGCTATGCCATTGCGCTGGCGGTACATGAAGAGGCTGCAGCGGTCAGCATGCAGGATGGTGCAGAGGCGCCGCAGGATCTTGAAGACCACACGTTCCATATTGACACTCTCTTGCATGTCCTGTACCAGTTCAAACAGTGCTGCACTCTCTTCCACCTGGCACAGCTCTCGCAGGCTGCCACAGTCCGCCAGCCAACCATCTTCGCAGGCCCCTGCCACATTTTCAGGGCTCAGCTTCTTCCCAAAATATTGGTGGGCGAAAGTGGGGTTCCCATCTAAGAAGGTGCGTACCTGTTCCTCACTGAGGCTCATGGTGCCCCTGCTGCTGTGCCCAGGGCTTTCACTACTCCCAGGTACGCATGGATCTGCAAACACTGTTGTCAGCAAAGTCTTTCTTAGTGATGATTAGGGAGCGCAGGGGAGACCGCTGACTCATACCACAGAAGTAGCCTGTCCTCTCTCTTCTCAGTTCAGCAGTCCCAGTTCCCCTGCAAAAAACTGGATATTTAGAATTGGTGTTTTGGGTAAAGCTAGGGGGGCTTCCTGTCTGTTGCAGGAATTATGGGCAATTAAGGGAGGGCAAGTCACTTCTAGGGTAACAGGCCCTGATATCGCATCCCAAACTAGATAATTCCACAAACACAGGCTATGACCCTCTTTGCTTGGGGAGCTGCTGAAGGATTTGGGTTGGTCCAACAGGAAGTTCCTGGTCCTCCTGAGCTCAGGTACCCTGGGAGGGTGGTGAGCAATGGCCTTCCAGAACTGCAGTTGACTTCTGAGGTGCAGAGTGCAAGGAGGTGTCCATGCCTGGAAGAAAGATAGCTACGGGAATTTTAGCGCAGACTGTCCCTAGAATCCTTGCTCCTCATGTCTCTCCTTGGTCTTTACCTGCTATGGAAGACGCAGCTTTGGAGTGGCGTCACTCTGCAGCCATGTGGCTATCGTTCAAGCTGAACAGCTGCCTACTATAAACTCAGGACTTTCCTTTTTGATGTCACCAGTCACCAGGGCCCTGGGCCCACATGTCCTCTCTAGAAACTCAGTCTTGATTCTGGACTAGCTCTTCCCTGGCCTCAGAGTTCATAAAGTTTACATGACAGTGGAATTACACAGAGTGTCGTGTGAGCCAGATGGGTGGGAGTGTTTTCTACTACTTTGAATATAGAAACTTACTTTTCAGGCATATTTATTTGTGTTGCTAGATTCTTGTCCTGTATCCATCTACGGTTGCACTGTGAGCACTGTTTTACAGACCTGCAAACCTGTGTGTCCATCCAGGGTGATTGCATCAGATGTCAGTAGGTGTCATGGTGTTGGCTTCTGTGGTAGTCATGATGTGATGATTAAAAAGTGTGGCTCAGAAGCCGGGCGTTGGTGGCGCACGCCTTTAATCCCAGCACTCGGGAGGCAGAGGCAGGCGGATCTCTGTGAGTTCGAGGCCAGCCTGGGCTACCAAGTGAGCTCCAGGAAAGGCGCAAAGCTACACAGAGAAACCCTATCTCGAAAAACCAAAAAAAAAAAAAAAAAAAAAGTGTGGCTCAGAAACTCAATTCTGGCTATCCCGATGCTCTGCTGCAGGCCAGCTCCATGCATTAAGCACTAAGAATATTGCAGGGGCTGTGAGTACATGAGGGTGTGCATGCCTGCACATGAGAACATGTGAGTGCTGATGGATAGAGGGAAGCCTAAGGACATAGAACTCTGTTCATTGTATGAGCTGCCCTAGAGCACCCAACCTAACCTCAAAAATGAGAATATAGGATGCATTAATTAGAAGGATTTCTGGGCCTTATTCCAGGTGAAACCGGAAATCAAACCATGGACCTCTAGGAACTACCCAGGAGCATCTTCATTTTGCCTCTTCCATGGATCACTATACTTCCCACCAGGGTATAGGGTTTGCATATAATTTTGACTTTTCTGCATCAGCTGACAAGGTGTATGCTTGGTGTACACATGCTTAATGATTTCTTGGCATAAAATCTGGCTTAGTGCTGGCACCTGCAGTTTCCTAGGCAGGAGAGGTTGACTAACTGCACAGCTGTGTGTATACACTGGGCTTAGCTGAGTGTAACAGGGACCTGTACCCACAAATTCTTGCCTCTGCTGAGTCATGTGCAGCTTCCTTTCAGGAATCTGCTTGGAGGTCTCTCAATCCTGACTGGGGATGCAGGGGAAACACTTTGGGAGAGGGGCAGGTGTGTGGGCAAACCCTGAAGTGCTGGGGTTTACACTCAGGGCAGCAGGCCACCGATTGCTTCCTGGGGGACCAGCCTCCAGCAGCACAGGGCTCCAAAGGAGTCCACAGTGTCAGCACGTACTAAGACTTTTCTGTCTGAGGGGGGTGGGGGAAAAGACACTCACTCACTCTCTTGATGGTGTCCTTCAGACATTTTCTTTATTCTTTGTTTGCATTTTCCATTCTTTATTTTCCTCATAATTTCCTTCTCTCATTTTTGATGTTTTCCTTCTAACTCTCTCATTCTTGATGTTTTCCTTCTAGCCCATTTTAAGTATATCTTTCAGGCAATATAAAAATTACAATGTAGTTACATTCTGTTTTTTAAGTGAATGAATACAAGTTAAAAAACAGTATGTTTTCCATATTCCTTACATGATTAAATATTAGTATTGCAGGTGAAAAACAAATTGTCCCCAGAACCCACATACATTCATATCCAAGCAACTTATTATAAATTAACCAAGTAGGCAAGCAAGATATTCTTCTCAGTCAGGTCTTTTCCTGGCAAGTTTCATTTTGCAGTTACAAAGAAAGGACCAATGCTCTATTACATATCTTGAAAGGTAATCTTATAAGGAATCACAAATCTAAACTTTTGTATATAAAGAAGAATCAGTCAGCTCTACTTTAAATCTTTAGGGTGCATACCCACTCAACAATAGTTTTTTTGGGGGGGCAGGAGATTGAGGGCAGAAACGGGTATAAGGAATTAACCATCACCTTTGGTCATCAACCAATCCTAGCAAGAAAGGCATGCCAGCTAGTAATAATTGGGCTGCTTTGTTCCTTGACCTTAAAGAGTTCCGCATTCAACATGTGCCTTTCTAAAACTTTAGATCATCTTCTTGAGTTTTTCATCTTAAAGCTATTTGACAAAAACATCTTAGTCTAACTTTATTTTCAAAGCTTTGTTTCATCTGTGATGCACACTGAAACCTGTGAACACATCTCCCAACATTTAGACATCATTTTCATAATAATCCACAGGTAAATATGCCCAGTAGAAAGGTATATTTTCATGAGATAAACACACTACATTACAGGCAGTGAAGATCTCCCCACACCCAATCGCACCATGCCAGATACCAGATAAAGACAGTAGCAGCAAACATGTAAAGACACAGCAGAAGCAAAAGACATCCCAGTGTTTGTGGTCTCAGAACCTTGCCTGTCCAATTGATTCATCAGAGTGTTTCCTCCTGGTGGGCTGACAACTTCAACTTCCACCTGCTGCTCCTCTGACATGGCCACTGGCAGCCATCTGCTTGGCATTCAGTTCTGGAATGACTTGGAACAAGAATGGCATTTTATCTGTGCTGGATAAGAGGTAAATGTCTACAGAAGTCACCTTGTTCCACTTCGAGACCCACCAACCTGCTCTGGTACCACAGAGAAGCAGTACAGGTGTGGGAACCATGGAGAAAACCACAGGCAGGGGCAGTGGTCACAGGACAAATTTAGCTTGGAGTTCATTCACTTTGACCCTAACCCATCCAACATCCACCTGTGGTGCTACTATGGAGCCTACAGGCATACTGGTTTGGGATGTAGGAACTCAATAATCCCCAGAGGAGCCCTGAACTCACGTTGATAGGGGTGCTACATAAATGTCTCAAGGCAATGGTGCTGCACTGATTGTCCCATCCGCATCTCCCCATCTCACATTCTTAAGTATCTACTAGTGATGCTTTCGGGGTCTCTGATTGGGGTGGACTCAAGAAAGTCATAAAAATAGATCTGTGGGGCACACCTGTGAGACATCTGTAACACACCTCTGTGATGCATACCTGTGAAGTAGCCCATAGAAAACTCCTGTGAGCTGCACTTATGAGATATACCTGTGAGAAGCACCCCATGAGGTACACCTGTGAGCTGCACTTATGAGATATACCTGTGAGAAGCACCCCATGAGGTACACCTGTGGCTGCACCTGTAAGACACAGGCATGTTCAAAGGGCCATTGGACTCACCAGGTGACTTCTCTACAGATGCAACTGGGAGATGCTTAAGGAGAAGTGGGACTGTTTCATTTGCCAGTCTCTTATTAATTTTGCCTCATCATAATGTGGAATTTTAAAATGAGTCACACATCCTGGGAGTCATTTAGAACAGGAATGTGTCATCACCAGCTGTTATGGGAAGAGAATCTGGCTTCTTGTACCAAATTGTGGAGAGGATACAATTAGACAAGGAGCAGTATGTTCTGGTATTAAAATTAACCAGTCAGGAAAAAATGGCAAGAGATAGAAGTGAGGAGAAATTAGAGCTCACTACCAGAGTCCCATCATGTCTATGAGCAAAGGACCAGATACATGCATCTCAGAATGAGATCCTGGGAGCAGGATAAGAAAGGCCATGGGCAGAAGATGGGGACAGACCAAACACCTAGGCCTTCTGTGGCGACAAGATGGGCAGACCCTCAGCTAGGTTTCTTTTTGAGACAATAATCTTGCTGTGTAGACCAGGGTGGCTTCCAACTCAAGACACCCCTGTTTCTGTCCACTAAGTGCTAGGATTACAGGTATGGGCCATCATATCCAGCTTTGTCTAGGCTTCTTATTTTATTTTCCCAGCTAACAATGACTGTAGCAGGCTTTCTTGGACCACCAGCCCCCAAATAATGACACAGAGACTTATTATTAATTATGAATGTTCAGCTTGTTTCTAGCTAGCTTTTAAAAAAATTAACTTAAATTCACCATTTCTATCAATCTATGTGCTGCCCTGAGGTTCATTTACCTCATCTATACACTGTCCATCCTGCTTTCCTGCTTCCTGTGTGTCTGTCTGGCTGGCTGGACCCTAGGCTGGCTGGCTGGCTGGCTGGCTGGCTGGCTGGCTGGCTGGCTGGCTGGCTGGCTTGCTCCCCTTTTTTCTCTGCCCATCAGCCCTGTCTATTCTTCCTCTGCCTAGCTATTGGCCATTTAGCACTTTATTAGACCAATCAGGTGCCTTAGGCAGACAAGGTAAAACAGCAACACACCTTTACATAATTAAACAAAAGCAGCATAAACAAACGCAACACATCTTGACATAGTTAAACAATTATTCTGCAACACAAACAAATGCAACTCATCTTTACATAGTTAAACAAATACTCTTATTTTCACAACAAATGACCTTACATAGATAGTCTTTGAGTGAGGAATGATGTGGTATGCAGCAGGTACCAACAGTACACACAAAGAAGACAGATCACTATCAGAGATCCACAAAGG